CAATTTTGTTTGAAAGATTACTGAAAATGATTTAGAACATTGTTTTAAAGCATTTTATACCTGTAAAAAATAAAAAATACCTCTTAATTATTTTGGGTATTTTATTTCCTAATGTTATCCAGAATAGTATTATTTATTACAATACAAAACACATTTTAAATCAACCACTTATCTTACTATTTCATGTATATGGTATTTTTATTTCTTAGTGGCACCTACGTGGTTACGTATAGAAATATCCTAAAAACTAATTTTTGGTCTATGACTTAGCAAAAAATAAAATAAAAAGCCTTAGACAMGTTGAGCTAATATTTGTGCTTAGAGTGTTGTATTATTGAATAGGTAATAATAATAAATAAATAAATAAATTGTAATTAATTAAAAGAGGTAACTTTTTTTTTTTAGAATTTATAAACTTCATGACGTGTCTTATAATAATCATATAATAAGTAAAGAAAAAATGAGCCTAAAAAAACAAATTCAAAATACCTAATTTTTTATAAATGTTAGAATATTTATTCCAAATATTTTCATAAAGTCTTTTATTCGTGTCAATTACTTTAAAAATCATATAAGTTTTGGATATCAATTAAAAAACTTGTATAAAATCTGACCTCTTACCCGCAGCTATTCACATAGTACACAAAACATATACAGTTTCAAACCAATAATCGATTATAAGAATTTCAGTCGAAATACCAATAGCTATGATATATTATTATTAATTTAGCTCTTATGTAATAACATATAAACTATATTATATAATAACGTGGTGATTAATTTATGTCAGATACCAGCCAGTTTCCTTCATGTTTTGATTCATTACGAAGCAACAAGCGGCCGCCGATCAAACTTTTCAAAAGCAACTCGGTAGCAGCCGTGCTTGTGAAATTTGCGGTGGTCAAAGTCAGAGTTGGGCAGAACTAGCGAGGGGAGACCGAAGATTGACCGACCGCGGGCTGACGGTCGGATATGGATCGGATATTTCGGGGCATAATGAAATACAGACGGACAAACAGGGTGAAGATGGTCGAGCAATTCATCCAGGTGAAAAACCGGCCGGAACCAAAAGCGTTGTTTTTCACTTGTATGGACAGCCGTATGCTACCTGCCAGATTTACCGATTCCAACGTCGGCGACATGTTTATCGTCCGAAACGCCGGAAACTTAGTTCCGCATTCACGGCATTTCCAAGACGAGTACACTTCTTGCGAACCGGCCGCCTTGGAACTGGGGTGTGTGCACAACGACGTTAGGCACGTAATCGTTTGTGGGCATTCCGACTGCAAAGCAATGAACTTGTTGCACCTGCTCCGGGAAACGGAATATAGTAACATCGCCAACCGCCGGATGTCACCACTCCGATCCTGGCTCTGCTCACACGCGATGTCGTCCTTGGAAAAGTACCAACAACTCGAGGTAGCTGGTTTTCACGCACCGCTTATTTTCCAGGCCGAGACTCCCTTGCGCCGGATTAGCGCTTACATAGATCCGGATGACAAGCTTTCCGTCACCGATAAGTTGTCGCAGGTCAACACCCTACAGCAAATCCAAAACATTGCCAGCTACGATTTCCTMAAGAAACGCCTAGAAGCGTACGACCTGCACATACACGCTCTTTGGTTCGACATATATACTGGCGAAATACACTACTTTAGCAGGCAAAACAAACAATTCGTAGAAATAAACGAAAAAAACGTCAACAGACTAGTGGAAGAGGTCTCCAAGTACTATTGTTAAGACAAATTGCGATTCAGATGACATCCACCCATCCATCCATCACCCCACGCTCACTCACGCAGAGCTCAACTCGGTGCTTAATATTAAGTGAGACTATTCTAGGTATAAAACGACTGTCGAATATATTGTGTACCTTTGCCGTTTTATTGTACATTAAAACTAAACATAACATACATGTCATTAACATCACCACAAGAAATTTAAAAATATTAGATTTTACCTTTGGAATATCAGATGAAAAAAGGTAAATAAAATAAAATGTAAGATGCTTATCAAAAAATAAAAATACAACAAAGATAATTAACATAATAACCAGTGATAGCCAGAAATGTTCACAATAAGCTAATAATATACAACTCACAATAAATATTAGATGTAGGTTTACAGTCCATAAAATCAATTATCATAATTTACCATTACACTTTAACAATTATAACATCCCAAGGAATATATTATCACAACGAGGTAGTTCCTTTATGTTCGACACCAGTTAGTATTCAACAAATTTTTATTAATTATAACATAGTGAAACGAAATTCGGAAATTCAGTACCTATAAAGATCAATCTAAATCTAATATGTTCAAAGAAAGCACAAGGTGATAAAAAAAAATGATTATGCAAAAAAATAAGCTTCATGTTAAGATACGACTTCCATCATATATTCCATAAAAAACTCTAAGTACTTATTCATTTAAATCCTTAGTTTTTCAATCTATACCCTCTTGTCCTAGATAAAATACCTAGATCCTAGATAAAATAGTTTAGGGACCTTTTAACCTTATTATTATAAAGAAATATATTCAGTACTCTGATGTATTTCATACTATTAATATTATTATTATTTATTATTATTAATAGGTAGGTACATATATTTTCTTCAGCTGCTAAGTTAATCAATTCMATCCATTTTATGTTATTAAAATTATGGCATTCGTAACATTTAGTTATTGTAATATTTATTTAAATATTTTTTATTTATTTGTTAAAACTGTACAGTTCAAAACTCGATAATACTATGATCATAGCACACACATAGTATATCATTAAGAACCTTCTATTATTAMCTACTTAACTAATTATTWAAAAAAAAAATGTTTCACAAAAGAATATTGTGTTTGAACAAGAAAGTGGGGGGTCATATTGTGTTATAATGCAGCATATTATTGTAAAAATATTTGTTACAAAATAAAAGTTGAGCTTATTTTAKTATTAAGCTAATACGTTCCGGCGCACTACCACTCGGAACCTAAAGAGCAAAAAAAAAAAACATTTTTTTACGTAAATACCGTAAAGGCTTTGTTTTTAACTAAAATGCAAAATTTTCCAAAAGTCAAATAATAATCACGCTCACTGTGTACCTAAACAACGCGTTATGATGTAAATACGTATCATAATATGATATTATATTATGGCAGAGCRAATGCTGTGTAATAAGTAAGCATTGCAAATTATAATGATTATACGTTTTTATTTTGTTCTCGCTCGGTGGAGAAATATCTACATAATTTACGGAAGCTACACACACACACACAAGGCCGACCGGCAGCGTAAAACTTCGATGTCGATTACGAGTTTACGATTCGTAAGCTCGCCTCCTTTGAAAGGTTGACAGGGCCTTTCTATAAACTTACATACAACACAACAAGGTTCGTACATTTAAATATTTAAATTTTGAATTCATTTCGCACGCACAAAAAAAATATCAGCAAGCTTGTCGTGATACTGTGGTATATATAATATATTATACCCGCGAATAAATRTACCATCACAAATCTAATTATTTTTCCACGCTCCGCAGATGAATTCACAATTTAAACATTTCGAAAAAAAAAAAACTTTGAGTACATTTGTGGAACGAGACTCGGGCATATTAACTGTGTGAAATGTAACGACAATATATTTTGTATATAGCTGTCTCATATATATATACATAATATGTAATACGACCATTATTATATACAAGTGGGGCAAGTGGGMACGTGTCGACTCATATTTGTTCGACCGAGCTGACTGCTACTTAACTACAGCATATTTCTCTTTCTCTCTCTCTCTCACTCTCCAACTGTCTCTGATTTTCGTCACATCGGTATTATACGAGTATAATAACTCAGGTTTTATCGAACAGCTTAATATTATTCCGTTACTTGTATAAAATAGTCAGTGGCAACAGCRGATGAGGTTATTTATCTGCAGAGCCCGATTTAAGCTGTAAAGTCCATTCGATTCACATTTCATCCTCTTTAATCAAATATAATCCAAAACTATATTGAAATGTTGGTCCTATTTATGCCCTGTGGCTGGTAGTGTTGGTACGTATAACACAAACAATTGTAAACCTAATAAAATGCATCTGGTTATAACGGATAAAAACAAACCAAATTTAATTTAAATATTTGTGCAATTTTTCTTATAATAATATTTATTGTACATTGCATATACTTAGAATAACCTTAAACATTAATCTAACTATTGTTCCTAGCTCTAAATCACAAACGYGTATACACAATACACACAATCACTCGCCTCGGACGACAAGTATTATATATTTCAAAAATATATTTTTCATAAATTAACCGATAAATTGTATTATAGGGGTAAGTATACATAATATGTGTCTAATGTCTAAGGCAGAGGTACCCAACCCACGGCCCGCGATKGTATTCTGTGTGGCCCGTTAAAAAATGTTAAATCGAACAATATATTCTAAATAAAGTATTATAGTAATATGTATTTATTCTATAATAGTAGGTAATGATAATAATAAAATTAAAAAAATACATAATTTGGTGGCCCGCTCAAAAATGATTACTTACTAAACTGACACGCTGAACAAAAATGGTTGGGCATCACTGATCTAAGGGGTGAGTTTCAGTTCTCATACCGCACACACACCTAGGATCTCCCTGGAAGGTCAGCTCACCCCCCCCACTAAGATTATTCAGATGGCGGACGGTACCGACGGTGATTATTTGTCATGTGTACCTACGCCTAATAATATACAATTTTTGATGTTGTTCGATCGCAGTAAAATATTTCAACACTAAACTACTATATCTGCAGGAGTTCTCAAACCTATTTTACTGACTGGGTATTTTATCTTTTAAAACATTTCACGGCACACACATAGAACAAAATCCATGTTATTTTTCGACGATACAAACATGTCAATACCTATTTATTCTGCGCATAAATCAAAAACATAAATAATCATCAGCATATCAGCGAGTGACTTTTGAATTTTAAATTTTATCACTCAAGCTGACACAAACTACATAACATAATAAGACAACAATTAAACTGCACAATTGAAGAATTTCACGGCACAACAGTTGGGAATCCCTGAGCTACACATTATAATATTGCAAAGTCACTTATATATTATGGAATCAACGTCAATTCGTTATGCATCGATGTGTGTGGGTAAAGGTAGACACCTTCAATAAGTCGATGAAAAACAAAAGTGACTTATCGGGTTAAAATTAGCATAATATATAACTTTCACTTGTCCCGATGTCCCACGGCCGCGACAAATATTTTATTCAACCGAGACTCGCAGCAATTAATCATAAAACAGTATAGGTAGGTAAGTACTTTTTTTCATCAATTTCGTCAAAATTGCACCTACTCGATAAATTACGTATGTTGTGTACATAGCTGCGTCAGATTGGACTGAACAACAACTGTGCAATTGAAAGCAATGCAGTACCCATGCCGTAAAGTTTTTTTTTTTTAATTTATGTTTTCCATAGTATGCCACCCGCCCACAATAAATCACACTAAACCTAAACTTTTGTTAGGTTTAATAACTGCCAATATATAATGCACACCTGTGGTTTTGCAAAAAAAAAAAAATCATTACGTCTTTTATAAATTTATTATTGTTTGCGACAAACGACAATGATGTATAAATACGTATGTCTGGTTACAGCTGACAATAACAATATYCCGATACCTACACATTTGTCTGATACTACCGTTATAATACCGCGGTATACGTACCAATACCGTTTATTAAAGTTTAGCGTATTGTACATTATTCTTCTTTATATCGTGTCCGGAATAAGATACGAAGATATTATGTATTATTTATATACCTATATTTTCGGTACGATATGATTAAACGTTATAAAACTTAAATATTTCACAATTTACATAATATTTCCATCAGTTAAAGTATTGCAGATTTGCGTAGGTAAAGTAGGTACCAATAATATATAGATAATTAATAAAGTGTGTTTATTTAAATTCCTATCTCATGACACTATTTGAATACTTAAGTATTTTAAATGCTCTGCACGGCAATTATCACAATGATTTCAATTCTTTATTTTGCATGTGTTACAAAAGAACCTCAAATCAGTAGTCACCACATAACAGATATAATTATATGTTTGGTATATACCTAGTCGAAATTACCAAAAGTGTAAATCACATTGAAAAAG